TAGGAAGGATCGTTGAGCACTCATTGAAGGGAGCCATTGGCCTTGGTTCACATGGTCCTCACGGTCTTTCTACCCAGCAGTTGCCATCCTGCTAAATGTAAGCCCTCATGGAACGCTCCTCTCACGTTCTGGCACGCTCCCACTGGATTGCACGTTTGTGCTGGTTCTAGACCTCAGTTCCCATTTGTGGATGGCAGACCTGCCAGAAACATCGACAAGCAAGTATCCTTCCTTCATCCAGATGAAATCACTCCTACTGTTCCTGAACTAAGACTTGAGAACTGCCAAAATAGTTATTTATGTAAGTTTCTGTGTTCCATTAGATAACACCTTACCAGCGTTTGAATAACATGGTTTGTAATTGGAGTCCTCAACACTCCTGTGAAATTAAATTAATAGGTTATGGAGGAAAGATTATCTCAAATACCTATAGAATGTGTTTGAATGGCGGGGTTAGGGAGGGAATTTAAACAGACAGAACATTCTAATTACATGTAACTTGAACGAGTTCAATAAAGAATATAGACTTTCGGGGGCAAAGAATTCTTTAACACTTATAAATCATTGGAAAATGAATGTAATACAATCTACAGATGTACGTATTCATTTGCCCTGATAGTTCATTGAATAAATTTCTTGTGCATATTTGCATAGCTCTCTTTAACATTAAGAGTTATAAATGCAGTTATAAAATAAAAGAGTTATGAATGCAGATGCCTGGGTGGCTTAGTCAGTTGGAGTCTGCTTTCAGCTCAGGTCATGATCCCAGGGTTCTGGGATCAAGTTCCACATCCGGGTCCTTGCTCAGCAGGGAGCCTCCTTCTCCCTCTGTCTGCAGCTCCTCCTGTTTGTGCTCACTCTCTTTCTCTCTGTCTCTGACAAATAAATAAATGAATAAAAATCTTTAAAAAGAAAAAGGAATTATAAATGCATGTGTCTCAGGAAACCTGTCACTCAGAACTCTAGATAAGATGAACATATTAAAAAGTCAAACTCTTTTAAATAGTGACCCTGTTGACAGTAACAGAGAAGAAGCCCGTATTGCGGTTTGATCAGAGCACAGGGGAAGGGCGGGAAAACGGAATGGGAAGAAATCAGAGAGGGAGACGAACCATGAGAGACTCTGGACTCTGGGAAACAAACTGAGGGTTACAGAAGGAAGCAGGGTGGGGAGACAGGACAACCAGATGATGGGTACTAAGAAGGGCACGTGTTGTGATGAGCACTGGGTGTCGTACACAAGTAATGAATCGTTGAGCGCTACATCAAAAACCAACTATGGCTAACTAAACGTGATAAAACTAAACATGATTAAAATTTTTTTAATAAAAAATAAATTTAAAAATTAAAATGCAGGGCGCCTGGGTGGCTCAGTGGGTTAAGCCGCTGCCTTCGGCTCAGGTCATGATCTCAGGGTCCTGGGATCGAGTCCCGCATCGGGCTCTCTGCTCAGCGGGGAGCCTGCTTCCTCCTCTCTCTCTGCCTGCCTCTCTGCCTACTTGTGATCTCTGTCTGTCAAATAAATAAAATCTTTAAAAAAAAATTAAAATGCAAATATGATGATAAGAGAATTAAAATTAAAAAAAAAAGAGGGGTGCCTGGGTGGCTCAGTGGGTTAAAGCCTCTGCCTTCAGCTCAGGTCATGATCCCAGGGTCCTCGGATCCAGCCCCGCATCAGGCTCTCTGCTCAACGGGGAGCCTACTTCTTCCTCTCTCTCTCTATGCCTGCCTCTCTGCCTACTTGTGATCTCTGTCTATCAAATAAATAAATAAATAAAAATTAAAAAAAAAAGAAGAATGTCAGAACCACTGTGAGTGATGTAAGGGTTGTATTATGGGGGATCAAGCCGATGCGGTCCTGGGAGAGAAGCTATTTGGTGCTGGGCTGAGATAAGCAGGACTGTCAGGAAAGGTAGGGAGCCACCTGAGATCCGCAAGGCTGAGCCAAAACTTACCAGAACAAACTGGAACACGTGTCGGTCTCTAGCTGCTTCCAAGCCCGCCGCCGAAGAGCAGAGCGGGTACATTTCTCCTTGCAGCAGCGCACAGCCTTGGCCCGGTCTGAATGAGAGGTGGACAAGCTCGGGGACTGGCTGCAGCCCAGGGAGCTGGCAGGAGCTGCAGCCGCCGTGCTCCTCCAGGCCCCCAGGGCAACCAGCAGTCCCTCTGCTGTGGAGTTGAGCACAGCTGTAACTTCAGCTCCACCTCCCAAGCCCCGGGCCAGCTCTGTGGCTCCCCTACACGTCCAGCTGTGCAGGCACGGGAGTGTGGGGCAGGTTGGCTTCCGGTTAGCTGAGTTGGCATAGCACAGACCCAGTAGGCATCACGGTTCGTCCCTTGTCAGCTCAGCTAGCGCTCAGACACAGCTCTCGGTCAAAATTGGCTTGCAAAGAAGGCAATCGCAAAATTGAGTTTATGCCAATGAAATGATCCCTCTTACAACCCAACATCCACTAATCCAAAATTCACCAGCCCCTTTCTGAGTCTTTGGGTGATGTTCCTTCCACTTCAAGCTGGGTCATAGTCCCCCTTGATGTTGTGCAGCCTAAATTCTGAGACACGAGATGAAATACTGTTTAGCATACAGTCAGTGCTAGGAGAATGGGAGAGGGGAATAAAAACTTTAGTTTATATACATAACGATCATATGAAAATAAAAGTATTTGGCTTCCTTGTTTCTGCCCCTTAGTCACTGGGCCACAACTGGTATTTGTAACTACCTTTTCCTGCCAGCCATTCCATATTCCCTTTGTCCTTGGCGAACCCCCTCAGACGGTTGTAGTTCCTTGCCACCGGAGATGACCCAGAACTGAGTTCTAGAAGGGTCTGGAAGTGAAGCTCTTAGACGTTGCTAGTAGGAATATAAATGGCAGGTCCCCTTTGTGAAACTGTGTGCACTTGAAAAGGCCCTTGCGCTAGAGGGTGAAGCAGGATGTTGATTTTTCTCCCATCTCCACGGCCATAGCCGTGTTAGGCCCTCACCCTTTGTCGCCTGGGCCATTTCAGCCAAAACCGTCCTCCAAGTGGCAGTCCTAGTGACCTGCCCAACATGCATCTCCTACGTGTTAGCGTGGCGTGTGAAGGTCTCCACGATCTGGCTTTTCCCCTGCTTCTGGCGCGTCCTCTGCATCCGTCCCGTGACGCTGACGGTAATAGTTAAACGAGTCATTATTAAGTACCTGGTCCGTGCCAAGCACGACGCTGTGTATCAGTACCTTATTAATCCTCACATTAACCTTGCAAGTTGCGTGTTACTACCCCTCATTTCACAGATGAGGAAACTGGCTATCAGACAGTGTCCCATAGCCACTCATCATTGGCAAAGCCGAAACGTCACTGTCATCTCTCCCTGCAGAGCCTGGGAGGACCTTTATCCTCCGGGCTATGCTGAACTCTTTCTAGCTACTCGAGCATATCATGAAATTTCTGCTGCCGCCCACCCTGTGCCTTTCTTTCTGTATGTTTCCTCTTGCATTCTAGACTGCTCTTTGCTTCCCTCCAGTCCCCTTAAAGCATCTGACTCCTGCTGAGTTTTGAAGTCTGTTTAAGAGGGCTGGAAAGATGTGTGCCCTGCCCTGCTTGCCTCCCTGGCTGGTTCAGCGCCCGTGTTAGCACAGCTCTCTCTTCCACTGTACTCTGCACATTATCGTAATCATCTGTATCCTGGTCTCTCCGTTAGATTATAGGTCAGCAGACCTTTCTCGGTAAATGGCCAGAGAGTTAATATTTTAGGTCTTGTGGGCTATGCTCTCTGTGTTGCAACTACCCGACCCAGCCTCTGGGGTGCGAGGGCAGCCATAGCAAGACAGACAGCGAGTGTGGGTGAGTTCCCACACAGCTCTACTAATGGACACTGAAATCTGACTCTCCTATCATTTGCACATGTCACAGAATATTCTTCTGCTTTGTATATATTTTTTCAGTCATTTAAAAAACAAAATTATCGTCTTGTGAGCCATACCAAAGCAGGAGCAGGCGGCTGGATGTGGCTCATGAGCTTGCCAACCCCTGTGTTATAGTATGAATTTCTGGAAAGCAGAGCCAGAACCTCATTGTTAGGGTCACCATACCAGTGTATCGCCAGATTGGGCTGCTTTGAGAGTGAGAAGGGTTGCTGTTACTGATGCTGGAATCACAGGTGTAAAGGGGGGAGCTGCCCTGGGCAGAGAGGGGTGGTGACTCCAGTCACAGTGTCACCTTGTTGGCTGTGTACAGTTTCATGTGGGTCCTCATTACCTCAGCCCTGGTTCTTGACTTTAGAGTCCATTTCCAGTGGTTGATTCACAGGCTTGGGGATGTGTGCAAGGTTCTGAAATCGTCTAGAGCATGAAAACTTTACTCCTGCAACAATTAGCTTCCTCTGAAGGAAGCAGCTGTACCTAACTGGTTTTTAGAGTGGATCAAAGTGAAACCATGCATATTCTGGACAATTAAAGCTTATACATTTTTTTAGATTTTATTTATTTGAGGGACGCCTGGGTGGCGCAGTCAGTTGGGCGTCTACTTTCAGCTCGGGTCATGTTCCTGGGGTCCTGGGATCGAGCCCTGCGTCAGGCACCGTGCTCAGCAGGGAATCTGCTTCTCTCTCTCACTCTCCCTGCTTGTGCTCTCTCTGTCTCTCTCAAATAAATAAAATTTTTAAAAAATTTATTTATTTGAAACAGAGAGCAAGCATGAGTGGGACGAGAAGCAGAGGGAGAAGCAGGCTTCCTGCTGAGCAGGGAGCCCAACGGGGGGCTGGGTCTCGGGACCCTGGGATCATGACTTGAGCTGAAGGCAGATGCTTAACTGGCTGAGCAACCCAGGTGCCCCCCTTTTGCATAAAAATTTTAAATATGTCTCTCCCCGAGAATTCTCCTCCAAGTACCAAGAATATAAGTCTGTATGATCAAAATTAAAATGCCATTTACTGTGGACAAAAGTATAGAACTGAAGCAGAAGAGGAGAATTGTTTCATGTTATAGTTAACGTCTTCTCTCTTTTTTTCAATCTTTTTGCAGTTTTTCGAGGTGCCGTTTGATTCAAACATGAATAGGACAAAGAACAGACCTCTGGTTCGTGGACAGATCAGGTAAAATCGTGAATAGAAGTCTCATGCGCCTTCTAGAACATTCCTTTGCTCGTTCATCCTGAATCACGTCCCAGTCTTTTGCCTTGAGTTGTGAGCTGAAAATAACATCCCTCCCCAAGGGGTGCGTTGATTTGGGTGCATGGTACTTTTCAACTCTCCCCAAAATGTACTACAGAGCCCTCAAAATGGATCTAAAATTTGCCGTTCTGTTGGGGAGTAACTCATGCAAATGAATTTCTTTATGAAATTCCATTTTGAAACGCGGACTTGTTTCACTTGTAGTGGCTGAGGATGAAAACACTCCATTAACACAAATGATTTCAGACAAATCCATACAGGGTCTCGGAAGAAAGATCTGTCTGAAGCCTTACCTTTTCAGACAAACTGATAATGCTGTTATCTGCCGAGGAAAGCACTGCCCCCATTAGTCTCCTTTCTACCAAATTCAATTAAGTAGAACTAAAAGGCATATAAATATTTTAATATCACTAATGGTTAATAATTAAACATTTTACTTCCTGGAGACCTTGAAACTGGCATTTAAATCTTTTTTTTTTCAAATCCAGTGGATATCATAAGCCAAGAAGAATAAAAAGATGGTTTTACTGACAATTCTAAATCAGCGAATCTTCTCCTGTTTCCACAGGCAGTGCCCTCATGGAGCTTTAAATATATCAGGGTAACTTGTGGATCAAGTAGTCAACACCTTTTCAGTAAAACCATAAAGGAAACACATGTGGGTACAGTCAGAAGTCTGTGTAAAGATGATTTTTAATATTAGCTATTGGGAGCCTTTCAGTTCTTCGGTGAATTTAAAATACCATTATGTCGCAAAGAGCAAAGAAAACACAGAAGAACAGAAATCTCATAGCCACTGATAACTCGATTAACTTTTTTGAGATATAAGTAAAACCAACTGCTGCGTTTGCATTTAAAGTGTCCGAAGTGCTTTTATCTGGGTTGTTCTAGAAGAGCAAATGCAAGCTCTGGGACCCATCTCAAAGGCTAGAAGCTGCCCGTGCCGCTGGTCAGATCACAGGGACGTGCTTACGTCCTCCTGCAGGGAAATCTCGCTTTCCCAGAGATCCAGGGGAATGTGGGGCAAGCCCAGCAAGTGGCCTTCGGGCATCTAATGACAATCAGATAAAGGCCTGCCACTGTCCACATCTCCTCTTCCTCTGCCCAGTGTGGTCCTTTCCTGCACCCACGAAAGCCACGTCGACCCATGCATCCAGGGAGGGGCGCACATGGCCTTGACGGTTGGCATTGGCAATGCCCGTCCTTCACAGGAGAGAGGCTGCTGCACAATTATTAGTCTTGTTAAACCGGTACCATCTTCTTTTGTTTGCAAGATGACCCGGGCAGAATCTCATCTACGATAATAAACCTTAATTGCTACCTAAAGAAGCCTCTGAAAGGGCAAGTGATAGGGCCGAAGAAAGGACTCCGACTTAGGTGAAGCGCTGGGATGTATTTTATGAAACAGGTCCAAGGAGCCGTTCTGAGTCTGGGGAGAAGAAATCTTGCCCTGAGAATCATAGTTTTAAAAGTGGGGACTTTATATCTCGCCACATAGGGTTTATTATAACCTAGTAAATGACTAATTACTACGCAGATCTATTGTGTGGCTGTTGGGGGGGTATAGAAAGTCTTCCAGACCACCCGTTAGCATCCATTTCCTCAGCTTTGCTGGTTCTGACGTTCACAATGGCCCTTAGGCATTTAAGTGTAAAGCGCAGCCAGTTTATTTTGAAATTCTCTGTTTGGTATTCCCTGCCCCATTTGACTGGGGCTGACCTGCCTTACTGAATCTGTCCCATTTCACAGACTTTGCAGTTGGGCGTGTGAAGTGTCAGTTCCTGACATCATTAACGGGTCTGGGAAGGAAGTCCTGGGACGTCTTTGCTGATGACAGCTGTTTCTGTCTTAGTACCTAGCTTGGCCTCTCTCCATTCTGAAGAAATGCTATGAGCATTTATGGGAAAAAATATATATTGCGTTAATTTTCTTTTAAGTAATTGCAGTTTTTTTTTTTTTTTTTTTAAAGATTCTATTTATTTATTTGACAGACAGAGATCACAAATACGCAGAGAGGCAGGCAGAGAGAGAGGGGGAAGCAGGCTCCCCATCAAGCAGACAGCCCAATGCAGGGCTCGATCCCAGGACCCTGAGATATGACCTGAGCCGAAGGCAGAGGCTTTAACCCACTGAGCCACCCAGGCGCCCCAATTGCAGTTTATTTTGAAAATTTTTACTGGCATAAATAAAATTATATTCTAAGGAGTTAAAGAAATAGACTTAAAGAAAGAAACATGCCTGGACTAGTTGTTCTGGTTTTGGGGTGGGTTTTTTTTTTTTTTTTTTTTTTGAGAACCTGGAAAATCAGTACAGTTGTGCACATGTGTGGCTGCCGTTCTCTGAACTTTTCTTCATTTTTTCCAGAAAAACATGGCAGGGTAGGTGGGCGCTGAATGCTTTATGGTGCTGATCCAGAAGATAGTGCTTTTTGCTTGTTTAATTTAGTCTTTATTCCAGGATTAAAGGTATCGTAAGACTGTGTTTTAGCAAAGCAGAGAAATGTGTAAAGAAAGTCAGGGTTAAAGAAAATAGAATACAGGATAAGTGGTAAGAGAAGGAAAGTGTCTCCAGTTCACATAGTTGATAAGGTTGAACTGTGGATTTCATTCTGCATTCCCGGTGATATCACAGCTCTACCATAAAGCTAAGTGCTGCGTGCCTTATTGATACTTAATTCCCCCGCAGCACCATAAGATAGATGCTGTTGAATGCTCCCAGTACGTAGGGGATCCAAGTAATACAAAGAAGTAGCAGAATAATACAAAGAAATTTGGCCTACTCCATTGGACTCCCTGCCCCGAGTCCCTAACAGCTACACATAACTGTCTCTGAAGGTCTCTTTGTCCTTGAGAAGAAAACACCACTCTAGGGAGATGCAACTTCTCTCTCTCCGTTCTCAAAAAATACGACGGGACACATGGTGATGATCTTAGAAGAGTGTCCTGTGTGATGTCCATGGAGGAGGCAAATCCTTTTCTGAGGCATCTCGCCGTGCAAGCCCGGGGGGAGATCCTGAAGATCAACTCTGGCTGAGGGGCATCTCTGATGGTTCACCTTGATCCAGGGATGAAAGATTTATTTATTTTTTTTATGTGAGGGAGAGAGAGTAAGAGAGCAGGGGGAGAAGGAAAGGGAGCAAGAAGATCCCAGGCAGACGCTCTGCTGAGCGTGGAGCCTGACGCGGGGCCCGATCCCAGGACCCTGAGACCATGACCTGAGCGAAACCAAGAGTCAGACGCGCAGCCGACCGAGCCACTCAGGTGTCCCTGCTCCAGGGGTTCAATGGAGCCCATGAAAGAGAGAGGAGAGAGGGTGCCGATATCAGCTGTGTGTCGGGCAGTGTGGGGAGTGTCCTCTGCCGCAGGACACGATTGTATAGTGGGCTAGAGGTGGAGTGGCCGTTCGTCCTGGTTTTCCCAGGACAGTGCTGGTTCCCAGTAGGATTGCTGATGGCATCCCACTCTCACTCTCAGTAACGTCCAGGCTGAACGACAACTCTGTCACCTGGTAGAACTGGATTCCCTTATTTTTTAAGTTTACTTCCTATAAATTCCAACTGCTTTTTTTTTTTTTTTTTTTTTTTTTGACTAGAGGAGGAAAAAAAAAAACACTTAACTGGAACGTATGTTCTAAATCAGTTTATAGGTACCCACCATACCACATACCCTTCCAAATAGCTTTTTTTTTCTTTTTTCTTTTCTTTTTTTTAAAGATTTTATTTATTTATTTGACAGAGATCACAAGTAGGCAGAGAGGCAGGCAGAGAGAAAGGGAGAAGCAAGCTCCCCGCTGAGCAGAGAGCCCGACTTGGGGCTTGATCCCAGGACCCTGGGATCATGACCTGAGCTGAAGGCAGAGGCCTAACCCACTGAGCCACTCAGGTGCCCCACGGCCTGGACATTTCTGACAAAAATGTCACAGTTCTGAATGACTTGTCAGGAGGGAGTTGGGCTTAGAGCTCCCTTTTGATTCTCTGGCAGAGAACAGAGCATAGACTTCACATCGCACGTCCAGAACTCCCACTAAAGGGCGGGTCAACTTACCCAAGGAGTCAAATCCACAAGTCACATAATGAAGGTTAATGTCAAGAGAAGTTAATCCTATTGGAAAGTCAGATCCAGTGTGATCCAAGTTTTAACTTGGTGCTTGAAGAACATTAACCAGCAATTTTTTAAAAATCTGTATAATAGAAGGCATTTCCATCTTCAGATGTTCTTCCTATGGTCAGAGTCTAGTGAAAAATGGTACCTAACAGACTCAAAGCTTAGGCAAGTCACTGGATCAACCTTTCCCCACCACCTCCCCCTCCCCTAGGATTGCCATTCCAACCTTGCAGCATCGCCGTGCAGGTGGTAATAAGATCCATAAAATCATGCAAATACATATGCATTGTTGGGAAGAAGGTTTAAAACTCAAGAAAAAAAAGGAGTCATTTGTAGAAATTTCACTTCTTTCCAAAAGTTGCTTTAAAATATAAATATTCCCCAAAGAATAAATAAATACAATAAAATAGAAATATTCCAGTACTTACCAGGCAACAACATAAAGAAGAAATTTAGATTAGTTTCTAGGGTTAGGGAGAAAGAAGCAAAACACTTGGAAAGGGAGAGAACTCAGAAAGTGGCAGCTTGTACGTGTTTCCGTGGCTGTGCCAGTGTTGGTACGCCCACCCAGGGGTGGCATTTCCGAATCCTTCCTTCTTGCTTACCACCGTCAGGACACGTTTGTAAGAGAAGGTCGTCCCAGGAGAGGAGTGTGCGGGTTGCCAGGGCTACTAAGAGGTGGATAACCGGCTCTCTATTCTCTTAGGACCGCATCAAGGAGGTAGCGGGCCCAGCGTGTCAAGGACACGAAATGTTGCCGTGCGTTCAGTTTACTCGGTAAATGTAGCTGTGAATGCACCTGCGAGCCAAGCTCCATGC